TCCTTTGTTTAATTATTAAGTATCCTTATCTTATTAGTTTTTATACTATCTAGTTAGTAAATAATGTTTAACAGCAATTATTATTGAAGTGACCAAGCCTTTAAGATTCCCGGTACATCTAATTTTTTTGCTAGTGCACTGTATCTGGCCTCTAACTTCAACGCCGCCATTAAGCTTGGCGCCTATATTTGCCAGGTCAAGTTCACGAAAAAAAATTATGATTGCTTCTTGCAATCAATATCATCAAATATAAAAGTTTTTTAACAAAAAAAGAACCGTCTTCAAAAAACTCTATTAGTACTAAAAAGTTTAAAATAACACTAAATCTCATATTATCAATTCTTGAAAATCTAATCTATATAAATAAAAAAAAAATATATTTTTTTTTAAAAATTATCATTTTTTGGAGTCGGTGCCAGATATAAATAGACTATTTTGTATGGTATCTGGCTAATTTTAACCTAAATAGTAATCACTCTGGCTAAATTGGCTAAACATTATGTATGCTTTACCAGATGATAAACATTTTATTCAGATAAATTACATTGACCTACTTTGTTTAATATTTCACAATATATACAAACAAGGTGAACATTTAATATCTTCGTATCCGAGCTGTCGCTTTAAATTCATTGTAATCGAGTTCTATGAAACTGTTAATTACAACTTTATGTTCCTATTTACTTCGTGCTTGGCGGTAAAGGAAAACGGTGTGAGACCAGCAAGCATGTCTAAGAATTAATAAAAAAATATTTCTAAGAAATATAAACATTGCTAATCCTCTGTAAGAAATGATGTGTACCCAACAGGGACATTGATAAATAAATGTAAAAAAAATAGTTTAAAAAAATTGTTATTTTATTTAGTAGCTCGTTAAACATACAAAGGAAGGTTTGGATTAATTTGATATTGACGTTGTAAAAAGTAAACGTAAATATGAAGACGTATTATGACAAACATTCGTGAGGTTATTTATCAGAAGGAATCATGTATATCCTAATCGTCATTGTGTATAACGCACGTAATTCATGTTCGAGTATGTGACGCAACGTCACATATTTGAATAAAAGCCACGTTTCGAGAGATATTACACTATCTTTTACTTCATTTATCAATACTGTTGATAAATTTGGTGGCAATGAGCGTGGTCCCATTAGCACAGACTACGTACAGGAGCTTTAACATTTACGGAGAAATGAGACCGACAACGCATTTAGAGCTTATTAACAAATAAAACCGTTTAAATAAAAACTTTTAAGTTAAACGGTTTTATTTTGTGTTAATTTTTTTTTTGTTAATATTGTATTGTCATCTAAATTAAATGTGTGTACCAAATTTCAGATCAATCTGACAACGGCAAGGTGCTTAAATTTCAATTTCTAATTTGACCCAAACAAACAAATTCCGTACGGGTCGAGCTAAATAAAACCGTTTAAAAAGAACAGTCACAAATTATTTTTGAATTATAATAATCCGATAAGTTGAACTGAGGAATTAAATCATGACTTTGCTTTTAGTAGGGCCCACAAAAACCATCACTGTGTCAGATAAACTCCCGATTATATTAATTTTTCAATTATAAATATAAAAAATAAAATAAATAACTAATAAGCATGTGCTAGCTTAAAAACAGTTCCCTCGTATAATTTTATCCTCTAAGGCTTATTTACGATAATATTATCATTTTAAAGTTTATACAAGTCGTATACATTAATGAATATTTCATGGTTATATGCCTCTATGGTATTCAAGTTCACTACTGAAATGAGTCTTACGTTTTAACCAATAAGCCATCCCACATTTTGTGTCATAAGATGCATGGCGCAAAAAGTAATGAAGAATTATTACACTTCTGTGCTAATAAATTGAGGGCCGTAATAAGTACAGACGTCATACACTGGTATTTCGACGAAGCGTTTTACGTAGGTTTAGAATGTGACGTCATCAAGGCGAAGTAAGCAGACGCAATGAGCAGCCGGATATAGGGGGAAGCCGGATATTGGAGATGCTTTGAGAATCAATCCCGGTGCATTTTCAGTTTATAAGTAAATCTTTTCATCAACATTATCACCACCACCACCATCATCATCGTCGTCATCATTTCAGCCTTTTTAAATCTAGTGCTGAACACAGGCTTCCCCACAGACTGCCAAGAAGGAAGATGAAATCAAAATACATAAATAAAAGTTTTCAAATAAAAAATTAATAATGCAAAATATAAAACAGGTATATTTTATTATGAAGTTCTCGCATAGCGGTATTTAGTGCGTTATTGCGTTATTTGCCTAAACTTGCTGTCTGGGCGTCGTACCTATATGATAAGTAAACAAATCTGACACATAATTTAAATATTCAGAATCTTAACGCTACAATGTTTTGACACTGCATAATGTACAATGTGAAGTCATGAGGGCCGTGATATGCATATTGGCGTGACTTCTTGTAGTGTCTAGTACTTGAGAATAATCTCAACCAAAAATATTTTTACGGTGGTAGGGCCACGCAGCAGCCTCGGCTGTTGCACGAATGGGCAGGCCCGTCCGGGTAAGTACCACGACCTCACAGAAGACCAGCGTAAAGTGAAAGCATGACATATACTTTCGCGTTTCGTCTAGTGAATGAGGTAGCCCAATTTTCAAAAGGTTCTCAACGCATCTGTAACCCTCGGGTGTAGCAGATGTCCATGGGCGGCGGTATTCACTTAACATCAGGTGAACCGTCTGCTAGTTTGGCAACTTTTCACATAAAAAGATATTTCAATTAAATATTTAATTGCATTTGTTTTGTGCTCTGTATCTTTATACCAAACTGGCTATTCGCCAATACAAATTAATAGTTGTTAGTACTAATGGAAGTCTATGAGTGTGGCAGTTACTAACTTTCGAATTAATTGTGTTAGTGATATTAATTCGGACGTTTGGCGACTGTACAGAGAAGTGAGAGCAACGCTTTGTGCAACAGGCCGCCTTCGAACTTGGGCATTACGTGACGTGACTGCACGCTCGACAGGCTTTGCGTAAGAGCCGAGCCCGAACCCAGTCTAATCGATTTATATGCAACGCTTCGCCCGATTTTCCTGATGCTTATCACCTTTACACTGTACGCTAATGTTGTGGTTGCTTTGGCTTGCAGCATTATGTTGAAAATCCTTACATTATTAACGGTGGCTTGTAGAGCTTATATCAAAGCTTATATCAAATAGCAAAATATCAAATAGCAATGTTTTTATCATCAGTATAATTGTAAGTAGTTGACCAGTGCAAAATTATTAGCACAGTGTCGTCATCCGCCGTAAAATGGTAAGATAATATTGTGTAATAAGTATTTATCAATTAAAGGCATTTCGAAGAATAGTCACTTCTCTATCATTCATTTAACTAAATTGACATTAGAGGGCATTAATATACATTCTTCAAAAGGTACTCCTTTTGAAGAATGTATATTAATGCCCTAACGATATAGTACTAATTATTTGAGGGTTTAGTTTATACATGTGGTGATGAGAGGAGTAGTCAATCGCAGTCTTCACAAGATTGCCGCCCTCTACGGAACTCTCTATATGGTTCTAATATGTTCTAAAACGTCTCCAATGTGGAATCATTTAAACACGCGTTTTCTTCGATCCGAAAAAGGAGGAATAAACGTTATCAGCTATATAGACTGTTCATATCAGACGTGTAAAAGACTTGTAGCACCGAGTGTAAGACGATGTCTGCGGAGAAGACTCCTTGTTTTACATAACAGCCAGAATTATAAGCGTAGTCCATTTGAGGAAGTAATCGGAAATGCCAGATCCCGATCTGGTTTGCTTTTTTGTACGATCTAATAATTTTCCGTGGGCACATACGGATATAAATAATGGAATTGCGTAGAAAACACTGGATGTCTTCATTGACAAAAATAGATCCAAACCACTTGGAAAGAGTGATCCAGTGATATCCTTACGAAACTAATGTTGCTTATTTAAAACAATTGAAATTTATTCCACTCTAAAAATATTAAAAAAATTACATATAAGTAAGAACTATAATCCTTATATAGCCCTTTTTAATTACTCCTTATAGAGCCATTTACACCGTAACTAAGTCATTTGCATTTATTTCGCCAATACAAGATATCATTACAGTTAAAATTTCATCAGATCAAAATTCATCAAATTTCATCGTCAAAATATTGTTATGTCGCATTCATGCTACTCGTAGTACTATGCGCGCTAATTAATAGTGAAAGTACCGGAACATGACAGCAAAGAGTAACTGTAATCATTAACATTTGAAATACTCTTTTAGAGAGGCGGAAGGCGCTTAATTTTAAACTTTAAAATGTAATGATCGATAATAACACACATATAACCCACACTGTAACTCATTGTCCTAACAACTTATAATGCGCTTATAGATTAAATATTCGACTGTATTTCAACTAATTATGATTACAAAAACTATTTGTTATAAATTTTCATAAAATATGTATTAATTATAATATCCTTTATTTTTAATCTGTCGATTTTCGAAGCTGCGGTGAAATGAGTTGACATTGAAATGATAATATTTCAGGGTCAGCACGAAATGAGCACCGTTCATGGCACTGGCATTTTGATTCCTTCCTTTAACACGAGTAATTTGCCATAAGAGGATGCGAGACATTAACCGTTTTAATTCACGTCTTACCACTCAAGATAGAGTTATATGTGTGCATCGGTGAAAGGTTCATGGTTGTGCTCTTTTGGCAACTATTCCGATCGCTGTACATGGTGTAAGTATAATGTTATGATTTAAAATTGACTACAAGTCTTTTAATATAATTAGTTTTATGTAAGATTTCTGTGGATTTGTTTCTTAATACATTTTTGTTGTGTTTTCTTTTAACGCGAGTTATTAACATTGAAACTATATTAACATTTCGTTCAACTTTGTTGTTATTAGGCGTTTTAAAATTTTAGGTCTGTATGTTAGTAATTTTTTTTTATCTTCTAAATACAAATTTAACGTAGCACATACCACCACTAGTTTCAGCTTTCATATCACCGACACCAGATTTAGTTTCGAAGCATTCAAAAGTCTCATCATAGTACAGCGTCATGTGGCTCGGTGAGACCGCCTCTGATTCGCCACTTTCTTCGCTCGGCCATTGGAGCATTCTAGAATCTGGAACAATTTACTTTTATTTTAAGGTGTGTGGCACAATAATATGACTTTGAATTATTAAAAAATAATAAATCTATTTTATTTAGTAATAAAACACTTGTGCTAAACACAAAGGTGAAGGAGGTGCATTAATTGTATATGCATTAATGTATTATATAATGCATGCATTAATATGTATGAGATCATATTATATTATTTGTAGCCTATCATTTAGAAAGCCACCTAAACGTGGAAGTTGCTTCCCTTCTCAAGATAGTAGACACAAGGATCGCTAAATTAAACTTTCTATAAACTTATATAGCGGTTTTATAACTATATATTAAATATATTAACAAGCTCAGGAAATATTTTAATAATCTAGTTTTCTTTTTTAATTGAGAATTAATCTACGCATTAAGATATTACAGATCAATAATGAAAATATTTTTCTTTTTTGTAATTTTTCTTATTTTCCTCAGCATTATGGAGTTTAATAAACATATAGTACAATAACGGTATCCAATCCACTGCTAAACGGTCCAATAAATAAGCCAAACGAACATTATAATATATAAACTGTCAGTACATTTCTTCATAATAACGCAAAATATCCGATAAAAATTCTAAAAAATATAAGAAAATTTTTAATGGTTAAGTAAAGAAAACTCACGGTTTGACGAAATTATCGATTTTATGCTTCTTTCTATTGATAACCGTGTAAAGCAATCGATTCACATTCAATGCCTGAAACTAAACTATTAAAATTAATAAACATTACAAATAGAATTGAATGAATTTCTATTTTATTTTTGTTTTTGTAGTTTACAATTTTGTTATTTTTTATAAGCCATAACTTAATGGTTAGATTAGGTAAGCTACGATATCAATTTTCATTTTGAATGGCTGTTTAAAAATCTGCTCTATTATGTTAATGCATAGTAAGTTCATGTTATATTATTATTTAATTTTAAAGAAAAAAAAATAATTTTTATAATAAATGATGATAAATTGATATCAAATAAACAATCATCGTTCTCTTTTAATGTGTTATTATTTTTATAAATTTCATAGTTTAGTTAACATTTGCCAACCGCATTTCGTGTTTCTTGATGAGACAGGCAAATAATGACTCGGACGTCGTTGACTTCGTCGTGGAATTCCACAAACCTCCATTTTTAATCTATTAATAAGATATTTTAAAGCCGTCCCTCTGGGTTATCAAAAAATTAATTATCAATTATTCAAGTGAAACCAGTTAACATGTTAAAATGTTTGTTTCAAAGTCTGGCCAAATTGGACAAAATCGATGGCTGAGACGTAGAAAAAGTGACAGCGCTGGGAGGTATGAAAAGACAGGCACCGCCGTCGCGTCGCCTGTTGCGACAAGTCCATTTTTATTAACGTAAAACAAACTGAACTTCAAATATCTCGCTCTGTGTTTTTTTTTTTATTTTCAGGACTTCCCTTAGTATCTCCGGAGTCCAAGATGTAATGCCAATGAAATTAATAAAGGATCACTTGGGAAGCACCAGCTTAAAAATAAAAAAAAAAAGAATCAACAAAATCGGTTCACTCAAAAAGTTCAGAAACATAAAAAAAATACAGTCGAATTGAGAACTTCCTCCTTTTTTTTAACCTAATATATTAGGTTAAAAGTTATATGCCAGATATAAACATTATATTTCAGAATAAGATTATAAAATGACAATGCTCAATAGAGTATTTGTAAAATTTATCTAAAATATTAAAATAATCTCATGAATTTCTTTAAGAGCAACACTTATACAATGTGTGTATTATAATGATGATGTATATATATATGTCTATGGTATATGTTTAATTTATAATAACTTTAAAATATAATCACAATACTCTCCCAATACATTACGGTAGAACCCTATTTAGCAACATCCTCTCTAGGACGTCAGTCACTTCGTAAAGGAAAATGCACGCACGGATATTGTCACGCCTGCACACACTATTGAACTTGTTTATTGAACAGTATATTATCAGCTATTTTAAGTCCGTACAATGTCAGGTTAATGGAATAAAAATCTAACAATATTTAATTTTATATAAGACATATTTATGTAAGTCATTTAATATATTAGTCCATAATTAAATTGTAATTGATTCCGTTTCATGTTGATGAAATAGTTAATAGTGAAATTTTTAGTTAGCTGTAAGTTAGTCACTAAAATCATTTTATTTTAGTTGCCGAATCTAGCATTTTATTTTTTGTATGTTTGACTTGATATGAACTTATATATTTTGTTTTTGTGGAGTAATTTTCAATAAAAATTTCAGATTTACATATAGATATAAGACGTACGTATGTACGTATGTACACTACAAAAGTGTAGAGACTTATTAAGACAGTCACTAATGGTATACGAACGTATTAGTCAGTATGCATACTCTTAGTATTGATTTAAATCATTTATAGTACAAAACTGCTGAGCATAAAAAACATATTTTTAACCTATTGTTACAAAGACGATATCAATTTAACAGTAAGGTGACAAAAGTTTTATATTCGTAAATATGTAATTTTTTTATTAAGTCTTGAAAAACAGTATGAGAATACCATAGGATTACAGTTTCTTATTTTATATAATATGCAAATGTAATTTGAAATTTTTTAGACATTTAAAGTTAGATTGAAGAAAACGAAACACTTCCAAAGGTTGCAACATTTTCTTTGCCCTCGAGCCTCAAGCGTCTATTGACTTCCTGCGAACGTGCTCGACTTGTATAATTGGCAAATAAAAACTCAAATAAATAGTATCATTCCGTCCACTTTAAAGAGTGGTTATGTCGTAATCGGGCCTGCTATAGACGAATGAAGGCGAGGCAGTATGAAATACAAGCGCCCTACCGTATATTACCGTAATATTTAAAGAGTTCAAATTAAATTTAGGATTCCTTTTGCACGGGGCAAAGTTATTTAACAAACAACAATAATTATCGTGTAAGAAGTTTTTAATTTCAAGTCCGACTGAGGAGTGGCTTTGAAATTAATTACTTATATTATTCATTTATAAGTATTCATAAAGCGTGCACGTTATAAGGCATACACAACTGTTAAAATAAATCGCTACATTTAACTACATTAATTCAGTGATACTGAGAATTAAAAAATATTTTTTTAAATGTGACATTTGAAATTCGCTTTTAGATTAAACTTGTTTTAAAACACTTCCTAAAATCTGATTTCTGTATGTAATTACCGGTGATGGAGGCAATTTATTTAATATTTTATAGTTCGTAACATACCAAAAAAAAAGATTATGAATCGTTCTTGTGCAACAGAAAGAGTACTATTCATCCATAAGTAAAAGCGAGTTTGAAAGCTTTCTAAAGCGAATTATAGAAATGATTATCTCTCATCTAATGTAATGTATTTGCCCATGATTGGATGATTATTCAAATTTATTAAAAGGTTTTGGATTCTTCAAAATTTTTCTATAAAATAAATTAGTTCTAGCCTAGTTGTTATTTGAATTTTCTTCTAATTTTCTTTCCAAAATCGAGGAAGACAAATTCAAAATGTGCTTAAACTCCACCAGCTCGTTTGCCACCTTCTCATAAAAAAAAAGCATCAAAGAATTTTTATTTACAATTTCGATTCCAAAGCAAAAAATAAATACGAATTATTTTAAACAGTGTATAATGTAGAAACAGCTTATAATTCGGAAGTAGGGAGCTAGGTAAGGAACTTTACGGTAGGTAGTGATTAAATGTCAACAGTTCTCTGACATTTGAGTAATCGGCCATCACCGTACACAACGGCTACAAAAATGTAGTACACACGAGTTACAAAATATTTAGATGAATACTAGACGAACCTTTGTCTATAATGTAACAATTTTTACCATTAATATTTTTTTTACTAGACTTTCCTCTTAATATAGTTATAATATAATCCTCAGATACCCTTGCTTCCTTAACTTTCACAAAACATCTAGCTGAATAAATTCTGGAGCATTCTCTGACGGATTCGATTTCTATCTATTTGGTCAATAACTCGAGTTGCTGTAGTTTTATGCAAAATATTTTGTAAGGTCACAGTACTGGGCAATTTTGGTACCATTCGGGCTTGCAATCAATCGAGTATAACGATCTCTTGCAAAATTTTCCTCAAATTCCTAATTGTTCATCACGACACACCGAGACTAACGGTACGGATCACTATGCTAACGAACTTATTTAAAATAATTACAGGAACATAGCACCTCTTAAATTTTAAGCGCTTTGCTTGAGAGTAGGAAGATAAATACCGAAGTATAAAAAGCCCAATGGGGAATAACATTTAGTTATAGCTTAAATAAATTTGTGATTCAGAAACAAGTACATTTATTTTTTTCGTATTCTTTATAACGGTAACCTGATTATACGTTTAATAACTTATCAATTCACATTCGGAAATTACAGATGAGTGGCGGTAAAGAGACGTTGAGTTACTTGTACTTGAGTATAACGTATATAAGATGAGCCTTCTAAAACTAAGGTTAGGTTAGGTTAGCTAGCTTACCATAACTTGACTTATAACGGCCTTTTCTTATATGAAATATTGCCAAACGAGCAGGCGGTTCACCTGATGTTAAGTGAATACCACCACCCGTGGACATCTGGCACCTGAGTGTGGCAGATGCGTTGACAACCTTTTGAAAATTGGGCTCCCCATCAGGCTACCTCACTCACCAGACGAAACGCAACTTCTTCTTCTACTACTTCCATTTGATGCCGGTCTTCTGTGAGGTCGTGTTACTTACCCGGACGAACCTGCCCATTCGTGCAACAGCCGAAGCTGCTGCGTGACCTTACTACGTGCTTAGTTACTGCTGAGATTCTTAAGCCGGTTTTTCTCTGTCCAACAGGTATTCTTTTCTGAACTGATAATAGTAGAATTTTGACGTGAAGATATTCGAATTTAAATTTGACTCTGCTTGCACGAATCAACTTCAGAAGCAAGCGCCATAATACCAAATAAGACATAATAAATTACAAGTATTTTTACT